ATTCTCCTAAAAATGTGTGAAATCTCATCATCGATTTGTTCATCACCAATAGGTCATTTAACAATATCTTATTGTATAAAAGGTCTTCATTCTATTTCTCAAATATCAACAATCAATGATCAATCATTTATACCCGATGAAAAGTTAATATTTCATTTTATAAAAGAAAAAAACAACAACAATTTATTATCTTTAGTCAAAAAATTGAAATTCAATCATCATCTGGTAAATTACCAATACCTGAATCATGTCTTAATTGGCTTCGTACTTATTTTCATTCACCAAATAATTTAACTTCAACACCTGAACTTTGTCCAAATATTATGTCAAAAAAAGGTTCATTTCAAGAAAATGTTTGGTATACACTTTTAAATAATGTTCATTTTGGTCAAATAATAACCTATGGACAATTAGCTGAATTAGTTGGAAATAAAAAAGCAGCACGTGCTGTTGGAACAGCTATGTTTCGTAATCCATTTCAATTAATTGTACCATGTCATCGTGTTATTCGTTCTAATGGTGATATGGGAAATTATTCAGGAGGAGAAAGAAATAATGTTAAATGTTGGTTACTTAAACATGAACAAAAATAAACATGTATAATTTTTTAGAAATGAAAAAGGTTCTTTTTTTTATTTTAGATAAATGCTTTAGAGAAAATTAGAAAGACAAAAAACAAAACAAAATCTTATATAAAAAATGGCCGCACGTGGTTCAGCACGAAATTCACGATTAAATAAAAAACCAAAGAAAACGAAATTACGTGGTAGGTTAAGTTGACTTTTGGACGGACGCTTTTCTATTGCAAGTTCTCGTTTTCAAGCATTTTTAAGATGAAAGTAGGTGTTTTCCTCAACCGACGTTTAAAAACTCTTCTTTTACTTGAATAAATATTGACGTTTTTCTAAAATATATTATCTTCATTTGTTAATTAAGAATGTCAAATAAATAGTTCTTTTTAAGCTATTCCAAGACGTGTCTATATAGCTTAAAATTGAGAAAAGTTGACTGTTTTCCTTCTCAGCTTTGCAATAGTCAGTATAGATTATTAACTATTTAGTTACGATTTTTTTTTTACCAAGAGGCTGAGTACTTCGCGTAGCGCTACATGAATAACTCTGTTGTTTCAGATCCTAATGTAGATCTAATAAAATTGAACATCTACTCTTCTTTAATATTAAAGGTTCAACAATAACTTCAACTGTCTCGAGTGACAATGATTCTAATTTCTGTTTGATTTCACTGAGCTTTGGAACAATTTTCATTGCAGATAGCCTACGGATTCTCAAAGGTTTTTAAATTCATAATTCCTTTTTCACGTGACATACATGTACAATGATTTTATAGAATGATACTTAAGGCATAAGACATATATTAATAGATGATAGTATTCAGTGTGATAATAGCGTAAAACATTATTTCAATCAGTCTTGCTAAAATGTTTATATAATTAAATATTAAAATTTTTCTTTAGGTAACGTTTCTCATGGTCATGGTCGTATTGGTAAACATCGTAAACATCCTGGTGGTCGTGGTAATGCTGGTGGTCTTCATCATCATCGTACACTTTTTGATAAATATCATCCGGGTTATTTTGGTAAAGTTGGTCAACGTGAATTTCATAAACTTAAAAATCGTCGTTGGTGTCCATCAGTAAATCTTGATCGTTTATGGTCACTTTTAAGTCAACGAACACAAGAAAAATATACTGAAGGTGAATTACCTGTCGTACCTGTTGTTAATGTTGTACGATCAGGTTATTTTAAAGTATTGGGTAAAGGTCTTTTACCAAAACAACCACTTATTGTCAAAGCAAAATTTTTCTCCAGACGTGCTGAAGAAAAAATAAAGGCAGCTGGTGGTGCTTGTGTACTTTTAGCATGAGACATATTAAAAGATCATGTGTATTGTCTCTGTTTACAGAAAGAAATAAAAAAAGAAATTATTATTATTATCATCAACATCTTTTTTTTTTTTTTTTTTCGTTTGTAATCGATATTGTTTTGCTTGTTTGTTTTTTTCCTTTATAAGCATATAAAAAAAAAAAGAAATACGAAAACAAACGAAAACTAAATAATAATAATTCTTCTTTTTTCATGGATATTATGAAAAACAAAACAAGAAATATATATATATAACTTCTTAGCCTTGCAGATATGTGCCAAGTAAACGAAGAGGACGATGAAATATTTCAAGAACTCAATTCTACAATAAATAAGTAGGTGAAGATGAAATTTTTATGAAAAATTATTTCGTATTTATTATTTGTCTAAAAAATAAAATAAATTTTTGTTAATATTATAAAATCTTTTTACAGAACATCAGTTAATCGAAAATGTATGAGTTGTGATCAAGATGCTTGTGTTATTGTACGTATTGCTGATCCAATGTGTCAGTAAGTTATTCAGTAGACTTGATAAGTATCAATTATAAGATTATTTAAAGGTAGAAAATTTAATGATTTCGTTAGTCAATAAATTTCTCTATCAAATGTACATCAGAATGAAATTTTATAGCTGGAATATGATAGGCAGGTTTCTGGAAAACAAAAAACAATAGTTTTCAAGAGTACAAAATTTCGATAATAAATGCATTTGATAGAAAACTTTATTGATTATTTAGCTTACTAATTAGATTTGAATCAAATGCTTGGTTTCCTATCAAAAATATGTTGGCCTTATACTTTTGACCAGTATCATATCTCGTTTATTTCTGTTCAGCATATGATTCGTTTTCGAAATTTTTGTGGTCAGTAATGTTCAGCTCCAAGATAAGATTTTCTAAGAATTTGAGATTTATATCCTAGTCTTGTAGAACATTCACAAACTTTCATGAGATTGATTGTATGTGTAGCTGAAAGGTGGCACTAGATCATGAACTGTCGACAGATCTAAAAAATCTTTGTTTTTCAAAAGGATAATAAATGTTGTCTATTACCATCTTTGATAATTCTCTTTGTCCTTAACCAATCGAAACAGAATTTTTCTATTTGAAATAACCTAATTGATTTTCTATTTATGACGAGACAAAGTAAGATAAAATTTCAGTTTTATCAAACTGAAACTTCTAAGAGAATGTCTTGAATGAACTGTTTTCTATTAGGAATGTTTTACTAAACTCAGAAATAGCCGATCTTAATTTTAAGAAGTGTTTTTTTTTCCTTCTAAATTTTATAACTGTGAATTATATTTGTAGGAAATGTTTTGAAGAATTTTTTATTCATAAATTTCGTTCAACAATATCAAAATCTAATATATTTGGACGAGGTGAACATGTTCTTATTGCATATTCCGGTGGACCATCATCAACAGCTTTGCTTCATTTAATTGCTGATGGACTTAGTGTAAATGCTCGACGACGTCTTCAATTTCAAGCGCATGTTGCTTTCATTGATGGTGATTAAAAATTAAACTTTTCTGTTTTTTTTTTTTTTTTTGTTAAATATAAGCTTTTTAGAATCTTCATTATATCCGGATTCAACAAATATACGTGAAAAAGTAATTGATCTTATTACAAATCAATTACATTATCCATTACATATTGTTTCTATTGATGATGTAAGATTATCAAAAACTAATAGAACAAACAAATTCGTTTTTATTATTTTGAAATAATGTTTTTGTTTTTTAAATTTATTAGAATCTTGATAATGATAATAGTTTAAAAGAATTATTATTTCAACATACAAAATCATTAACAGCTCGTGAAGAACTTATTCGACGACGAAAGTATATATATATATTTTTTTTTTAAATTTAAATTCTATTCTAATAATAATTAAATAGATTAAAATTATTATTTGATATTGCTATTCGTGAAAAATGTACAAAATTAATTACAGGTGATAATTGTACAAAACTTGCAGCACAAATTCTTTCCGATATGGCACAAGGGAAAGGTGCACATGTTGCATTGGAATGTGTTCGTATAATTGATCTTTTCTTTTTTAAATATTTTATTATTTTTATATCTTATATAGAACTTAACTGATACAAGAAATGATTTAGTTACTATAGTGAGACCATTCCGGTTAGATTCTTGTTTTTTTCTCTCGTTATTTCATATCCTTATTATTCATTCATATATCTATAGTGAAATAATGTCAAAAGAAATAGCTATGTACAATCGACTTAATTCTATTGAATCTCTTCAAAATTTTGATGTAGCAACAATGGTATCTATGATTTTTGTTTATTTTTTATTTAAAAATAATAATTCTTTTCTTGATAGTCTGGCACTCAATCATCAATCTTTAAACTTACAGAAACACTTGTTAATGATCTTCAAAGACAATTTCCGTCAACAGTTAGTACAATATTTCGGTAAGAATTATGTTTTTTTTAATCTATATGATTCGAAATGGACAAAAATTCCATTAGTAGACTGTTCGGTATGATGTATGTTATGCCGGCGACAGTCTGATACTTTAACGGATGAGCATCTTCTGATTACTATTCTACCGTAGTATACCGATAGTTGTTCTTTAACTGAAAATCTATTGTCGATTCTTATGAGTGCCGCAGTAGTACGAAGAAAAGTGCAACATGGATAATTTATTGAAATTTTTCGTTTTAGAACATCTGATAAACTTGAAAAAAATTTAAAACCTGAACGATGTGATTTATGTTGTTATCCACTTGATCTTGACGAAAATCAATCATTATTATCTGATCAAGATAGAATAAAACTTGTTCATCAACTATTCAGTACACTTCCTGATAGGTATTGAATATTTTATGTACACGCTCTTTCATTTATTGTGATTTTTGTTTGTTTTTTTTTAATCAGTAATGATTCGATTCATGTTTGCTATGCTTGTCAACGATTACTACGAGATGTACAAGTACGGTTGATTTTTATTCGAAAACTAAAATTTTTATTTTGATTATTTATTTAGCCAACTATACGGTCTAATCAAGAATGATTCTTGATAATGAAGAACAAATCAAAAAAGCCTTATTTTTTATTTTTCGTATAAATAATCATGGAAAAAGTTTATTCTAACTTGGTGTTATTTTTTTTTCTTGTTGACGATCAATAAAAAATAATTTACCGTTAAAAACTAATAATTCTCAATTATTTTATTAGATGATATTTGCAGACGAATAAATGACTATTAGGAGTTTATATGGACATACTTTTTGTAGGCTTGATTTGCTTTTCGTTATTCATATTTTCTTTGACGTACTAATATTATGATGATAATTAAATGGAGACAAAAGGCTATCTTCATAAGAAGATAAGGAAGTTATCGGTAAGAATTAGTCCATGATTCTTGAAAGATAATAATAAATTTATTAGAAATTGCGAATACACATTTATCGAAATAAACTAAATAAATGAACAATAAACAATATAATTACAGTCTATTATTAATCATGATTGTGTTCAGTCAGAGAGTAGGGATAGGTGTTCGTGTAGAGTGTAAGATACAAAATCAAGATACACACGCACACTTTAGTCTATCTGTATTTGGGATCATCGGATCTCTTTACTTCTATCAAAGTTGTTTAGTAATTCATTATTCATCTTCTTATTGCTCAAATGCAATGTCTTAATTAAACTGATGAGCGAAACACACTTATTTGGTTTAAATTTTGCAGCCATTAATTAGGAAATATTGAAATAAACAGAAATTTCTTTTTATGTAGAGCATTATTCAGCTTTGAAGTTCCCAGTCACCAGCGCCACTAAAGAACCTACAGATTCGAACCAGATATCGCCGAAGAATTAAAAAAAATAAAAATTTTTCACTGCACTACGAGAACATTTGCAACACTGAGCTCTGTTATTGCAGTTTTTCTTAAAAGTTCGACAAGTAAATGACATTGACAAGGTTTACATTAACAGACAACTTAAGTGTTGCGCCTTGACGGATCAAAAGCCTTCTCTCTCTGCTGGTCTTTTGAATGATACTATCTAAGAAACAGAATAGTCAATGAAATGAGAACCCATCGATGAGCCTTTTCTTGGTAAGAAGTATTGTAAAGACCAATTTTGATGCCATAAGAGCTAAAGAAGCCAAGAACAGGCATGAGAAGCTTACTTGTGAACCTAAAAATTTGGCTATAATCAGTAGTGTACGGAGAGACGAAGCCTAGAGAGCCCGATCCTCACGTTTCTATTGAGTCAAAAAGGCCTGAAGAAGGAATGTTCGGAGAAGGTGTACACCGAATAAAATTTTTAATAAGATGGGCTCCTTTGAAAGGTTTCTGTTTATGTTACTGCCTACGATAAAAGACTTTTACACACTTTCCGAGCATCTTTGTTAAGAATTCAAAAAGTGGAATGTCGAGGGTCTGGGGGTGTCTAAAGAGCAAAACCACACATCCACACCCTCACCTACGTAATTTGGAAACTTTTAAATGGTAGCAACCACGTTCATAATAGAGCGAAATTTTACGATGTGGGCATTTATGGTAAATTATATCTGTTATTCATTACTAATGAATATTATTGTTTTTTTTTCTAAATATATCTTAAAGTAATAGCATATAAATATTGTGTTAATCATAAATGTTGTGAGAAAATATCGCAAAACATGACTGAATGTCTTCGTTCTGCATTAACTTTCTTTTGTCTCCTGTGTTCGATCACATACCTCCTAGTGACTTAAAAGTCAAAGTCATTCAGTGAATTTCACTAAAACTCAAACTCATTACGTGAATCTGATTGAAATGTTACTTTTAATCAATGAATTTGAAAAAATATCAAAAGAGTATATCCGTTTCGTTATCAGAAATGCCATTTATTTCATGTTTTTGACATGAAATTCACGAAATTCATGAAAGTTTTGTGATTTTTCAAGTCACTAGGTATTGACATTTTCCTATATTTGATCTGTTCGTACATATTGAAACATCAATTAGTTTTTCCAAAAAACTTACTATTAAAAAGATAAAAGTTTGTTTCAATAAAAACTTTATTTAAAAGCAAAGGATTAAGCAGATGCAAGAAAAATAGTCAGCAAAAGTCATTGAGAAATCCCGATACTATTACAAATATGGTTTCTTTTTTTTTCTTGTAAACATCTATTGTTAAAAATTAAAATATTTTTTTCTATGAAACGTACCGTAACAAAATATTCTTATGAGGTTGTAAATAAATATTGATCAAACAACATTCTAATTATAAAATACATCTTCATCATATTTTGTTATACACTTATAACGAACACTTCTCTCTATAATAATTAGACGCACTTGTTATAACTTCTAAATGGCTATTCTTTTATTTTGTATTTGTGTAATTTATTTGAGTCTATCATCAATTTTATGTAAGATCATTCTGTCGATTTAATTAGGGTTGAACTAATTGAGAAAGAATATATCGCAACATCTCTTTTAGATCTTTGCATTTTGTTTCTTTCCTATGAATCTCTGATACCGGTTTGATATCGATCAAGAAAATGCTGCACGTCTACCAGTTGAAAATCATAATTTCTAGATCAATAAACACAAGTATTTGTAAGGTACAACATTTAAACAGATAAAATCAACGTTCCACATTCAATTATTTAATAAGAATCAAGATTAGATTCTTTTATTTACAAATCAAACGTTTTATTAAGAAAAAAAAAACAGATTTTTCATATGTTGCTATTTGAAAAAATTAAAGAAAGAGAACTTAGACTTTTTCTTTGTTTGATTGTTCCACGCTTTAGTGATTACTGAAAGTTTTGACGTTGTAGTGAAGACTGATGAAGCCGTTGATTGCGATCGTTTTATCACTAATCTTTGCCAATAAGGTTCTGCGAATACAGTTTGATCGAGCCAAAGTGTCATTGTATCATTCTTTACCTGAAAGAAACAGTTAGTTTGTCGCAAATCATATTTCCACCTTTTTCTATCATAATTATCGTAAAAAATTGGATGACCTTTTGAAATATCGAAAGTAAGACTACGAAGATGTACTAAATATTTATTCAATAATGGCACACTATGTAAACTTGTTGTATTGATTGTTAGATGTTCCACATAAGGAAAGCACTTGGCAATAGTAATAATATCGTCTTCGTCGAATTGATGCTCAGAAAGAGAAGTATCAAGATGTTTTACACTATTACTTTTCCTCAAGATACCATCTTTACTTGCCATAAGCACATCGAAGTTTATGTAAAGTGAAGTTATATTTGTGAGACATGCTAGGAATTCAGCTAATGCATCATTGTTTTTTTGTAAGCATACAACAACGAGTTGCGTGATTTGACAATAATTTACATGCGTTTTCATCCATTTGAATATCGAACTTTCCATATGATCAATAATAAGACACTTCACATTTGCAAAGTAGTAATGATGTGATATAATACTATTCGTGTCGTCAAATCTCAAATTTATATTGTTATTGACTATCATAAGATTATTACTATCAATGCAATCGGGTGCTATCCAATATTGAATAACTGGCAGATCGAATTCATGTCGAACATGGTACTTCATTCGATGCATGTTAAAACTATTAATATCCAAGTAGGCATGATCAGTTATCATTATATTGAAATTCTTTTTCTGTAGCCAATATAAGCTTTGAAACGAAGCGAGAACATTGTGGAGATCAGCTTTTTCTACACGAGATGTTGTCGTTCGAAGGCTAAAATGAGTCAGCGATGGGAGCGATGTTTCTAATAACATCTGCCACGCATTTGCATCAAGTAGTCGACTGTGTGCTTTAATTTCAAGACGATTTAGATAAGGCATAGAATTGAAATATTGTTTTAACATATCCATCGTTATTGGACTGCATTGTTGAAAATACAAGACTAGTGTACGAAGTGTAGACATTAGTGTAATATTGTTCTTTGGGCTCTTTTCTATTTCATCATAATAAAAGGATCTTTTATTATTTAATTCAACGTCGAGATATTTAAGATAAGGAGCACACTTAAAAATATATTGTAGATCTTGAAATAGAAAATGTATACCTGAAATCGCCAAATGTTGAACATTTGACGAGACTCTCGCCAAAAGGGTCCAGTTTATAGAACTAGAAACGCCAGTAAGAGATAATCGTTTAAGCGAGTTTAAGTGAAAAAGATCGACAATAGTCTTTCCTAATGGCAATTTACTATCTGTGTTCATCGATTTGATTGATAAAGTTTCAATAGCCGTTTGTGATAATGAATTAAGAGCTCTTTCAATAATTCGCCAATCAATAGCATCGTCGTCAAAATGAATATAAAGTGTTCGAAGTTGTTTAAATAATTCAAATGATGGAAACAAAGATAGAAAAGCATTAACTTGACCTGGTGTGTCTTGTTCTGATATGGCTAATTCTTCTATTTTGTCAAGATAGGCTGGTACAAGTTCCATGCAAAAACGAAAATCATCTTTTTGGCATTGAATAAAATCAAAACGAACTCGTTGACATTGAGTAATCAATGTATCAAAACGTTGATTGAGTTGAAAACTGAAAATTCGAAGTAGATCAACTCCATTGGTGTATTTCTCAAGAATATCAGTTAATATTTCGTTTGGAAGTGATTCTAGTTTAGACATTGATATATGTCCGGACAAAATAATAGTAAAAATGTATAAAAAAATGTTAACATGCTTTTATGAAAATGTCGAAATTGTAAGTCACGATTTTGTATGTTTCTTTTCTTCAATAGGATGCAAGTTAGTTTGTTTTTCTTTTTATGTAAAAAGGTAAACTATCTCATAGAAAAAAAGCCGTTTCATTCAACCTATCAATAGAAAATGCCCTTTCCACTATTGACATCTATAGAAAAAAATCGGACTATGAAGAAATCCAAACAGTTCTTATTCTTCCTAATTTAGCATAAGATAAGAAACAACTTAACATTAATATCGTTTGAGAAAAGTGCTTTTGTTTTGTTTAGCTACTCTTCACTAAGAAGATTGTTTCCTTAGTAACGGAGAGGATTCAAACAGTATCATTTTTTGTTACACCAATAATAAAGAAAAAAGTAAAAGCCAGTACTATTGTGAAGTACTTGGCTTCAAACAGATATCTGAAAAATTTGCCCCTACTTAGAGATAATATGTTCAAATTAGAATAAAATTCTGATGTGTTCGATATATTATCAATTCGAAAATGGGCGGTCCACGAGTATTACAAGAAATAGGTATTGCTTCTTCAATTTTTCCAAGAATCCTATGTTTACTAGAGTCAGACTAATTAATTAAACGCACATATATTTTTAGGACGACTTTGTTCTTAACTTAGGAAGATTGTTTCACAGAATCATAATTTGTTTTTATTATTAGGGGTGTGAGTGTGGGTGAGTGAAATGTAAAAGACGACTACACACTGAAACCGGCAAACACACCCACCCACCCACACCCTTCACTATTTTAGTTCAAAAATGTAAAAAATCGATATGTCTGTCTGACTTAGTAGGAATTTTTAGAAATCACTGAAATTTTCAAATATTTTTTTTTTTGTTGAGCATATTCATATAATGCTTGTTCAAGTATTAGTTTCAGGTTGAAAGCTGTAGTTTGTTGTCTGTGGTTGAATTTTTCCATTTCATTCGATAGCTCCTGTAAATAATCCGAGAATTCATTTTTCAAATCTGTAACTATTGTCCTCTTGAAAAAAAAAACTAGGAAATATATGAAAATATATTTTCTCTATTCCGCACAATTAAAGGAAGTCCGGCAGCAGATTTTTTTTCAAATGGTATAAGTTGAGTAAAAAAATTAACTCATGCAACTTCGTTGTAATTATTATTGTCTTAATTCTTGGATGAGAATTTCAATTACAATCACTATTAATTAATAGTTAACTACATAGAAATATATCATCATAGCAAAAGGATACAAAAAGTCGAAAAGCTAAGCAAACCTATTCTAATTTGCAGCACTGATCATCACAGAGTCTTCATTCTTCAACGAGTTTATTAGCTGAGCATTCTTCATAATTTTGGCATAAATCAAACTAACTGCACAGGACGAGGTATTTTTCTGCGAGACCGAAAATGTATAATGGTATGTATGGTAGGCCTTAATTAAACAAAATCAATATGTCCTCAGTAAACAACCGTAACGAAGATATTCTTATTTGTTCTATTGCATCAATGAAAGCTGCTTCGATAACTACATACTCAGAAAAGCGATATTTTCAGTCAAAATTTGAAACCATAAAATAAAAATTCGAAAACTATTTTTCCGAGTGTCCGGCTTCATCGCACCCTCTCTCCCTATTCCATTAGAAGTCCTTTATGGATGCCCCAATATTTCTTGTAGATGATTTGATATTATTCAAACCGTCTCGAGCATATATAATTTCTATTTTCGTTTTAATATATGTTGGATTTGATGAAAATAAATTTCTATTTCTTTTTGAATCAAATTACTATAATTTCTTGTAAATGCCTTCTAAACTATTAAGTACAGACATACAATTATTTTTGACTAAGATAGATATTTTTTTACAACTATCTAAATAGTTGCGTACTTTTCAGCTTAATGAGCAACTTAAATTTCACTCGTGTTCATTCCATTTGTCTAAATTAAACGTTCCTTTAATGATATAAAATGCATTATTTGTTATCTTGTGAAACCAACAATAAACTTCATCTATATCTTGATGTGCAGTTGAAATAAAATTAAAAAATTTTTTTTTCCATTTCATTGATTCCAGATATTCTTTTATAAACATCTTCGACTTTATCAGAGTTGACAAGATCTACATTAACATTGATAATTATTTCTTTTAGTTCTTTCATTTGTTGAATAATCTGTTGTACAACATTATTCAGTACATCTGAATAAACTCCAGTTCGATTCGACGTGTTTTAGATTCGATAGACATTTTGTAAATGGCTCATAATCAAATTTTCCTTCTAGTCGAAATAAAACTTGTAAAAGTATTTTAGCATCTCTTCTTTATTCATTGATGTATCCAAATAATTTTTCCCATGTAGCACAATATGTTTGAGTAGTTTCAAGCATAATACTGGAAAGTGTTCTGATAGAATCCAATTCTGTAATGAATTGTTCTAATGTATTAAATGATTTTTATTATTATATGTGGTATTAATTTTCTTAACAATTTCGTCTAAGTAATTTAAAACTCTACAAAATAAACTTCATTAATATTTTCTTTCGAAATGTGTTCACAAAGGTTGAACGCATTTTTAGCCGTTTTGATCATATATACACAAGTATTTTGTTTCTTGTATAAAAATTTTATCCATCTTTCTTACAGAATCATTGAGATAGTTTAGGAAGGATGCTTTCAATTTTAAGTAACTTAGTTCCCATATCTATGTGATTCAAATCGCCATGCAAAATAGCATATGCACTAGAAAATTTTCTCATAATGGTAGCACTATGCTTAAATCGATTAAAAAGCAAAGAATTCTCGAACGGATTAACAGTAAAATCGACTTTTACAGTGAACAATTGATAAACGATTTCATATGTATCACCAATATCGCGGAAATATTCTAAAAGAAGCTTTATTTTATCTAAATGTGTTTTCAGTGATGTCACATACTAAGAAAGGGTGTGGGTGCCAATGTTGGTAGTGGTTCTCTTTCTATCCATTCACACCCACCCACAACCCTATCCTCACTACTACTGGGTCGAAAATGACCCAAACGTTTATGACAAATGACGCTTGCATATCTCTCATTAAAGAGTTTTCAAATACTATTCTGAAGTAGATTACACAACAGTGCTATATGTCAACCGCATTAGTGCTTGAATAATCAGCCTATGTAAATAAATAAAGAAAGAAAGAAAGAAAGAAGAAAAGAAATCAGAGTTTCTCAGTTTTTCGAAAAACACAATTTCCTGACCCATATCTCATGATCAAAGAACAATAAAAACAAATTTTATTTTTTACGAATCTGTAGCTTCTTGAGAACTCTACGCAACATTTGAAAACCACGTTTGTCAGTTGTTTTATTACTGCAAACAGATCACTGCTAAGAATGAGCAAAAAATGAGTTAGCGGTAGTGAAGTATTAATGATGCTTACTTCATATACAAACTGGCAACCAATCGAATTCCGAAGCCTCACCCTACCATCACTCGATTATTTTTCTTTTTATCTTTGATAGATTCATTTGCAGTTTAGTGAGGCTTTCACAGAATTATACACTATTTCCCGATGTACTCTGGATATCTGGGCTTCCTCCCTTTTCAGACAATTGAATAACACTAGATCCCCAACGGCTATTGATATCTTGAGTTCTTCATCTTTTGGGCGATAGAATTATGCATGCTTGAACATTAAGTTTCGAACTTGAGCTGCCAACCGGTTATTGAAAGATGTGAGTTTGATTCCCATTGTGCTCAGATGATTCTTTCTGTCTAGTCCTTGGCGCTAAATAGAGCATTTCATGAGGATATATACATTCTAACGATGGAAATATAACGACTGTGTACAACTAAAACGTTTATAGATAATTCTAATATGTAAACTCGCTAAACGCTTTCTCTCTCGACAAAAACGTGTGTAAACCCATCTTCGTCCTCATCCTCGACTTTCATATGTAACTTAACCGTGGATGATAGGTAATATGAAAGGTTAATTTTGTTCTTATCAGAAATTTATATTACACTCATACCCCCGCCGTCAAGAAACATGTTTGCTCACTCTATGGTAGTTATTGTGCTTTTCTAACTACTACTGTATCAACAAAGCAGCGAAAATGTCTTGATATCGTGAAAGTAAAATGCGTTTTACCAGTCGATTTGTATTTAAAGGAGAAAGAAAAAGTGTTTTTGAGAGCACCAGCGAAATCTAGACGAGAGCATCACGGACAAAAATTTGCAACAAATCACAATTCATCGTCATAGCTCGATCAAACGATAGCATTGCCCACCGTGCAAACAGTTCTTGGTTAACGAATCTTGCTGACAATGAAAGAAAAACTTTTGAGCTCTTCACACCATCGACTTTCTCGTATGATGGATGATTTCATCGTCATTTGGCTGGACATCAATATCGATCCGTTGAATGACGAATACAGAAATTCGATCATTGAACTTCGATGCATCGTCAATACGATAGAGACATTCAGCGATGCTGACGACTTTATGGATTTTCTTACTGAAATTAAAGACGAAAAAGTGTTCATGATAATGTCAGGAACTGTAGGCGAGTACGTGGCACATCTGATCGAAGGACTATCTCAACTCGACTCGATTTATGTCTTGTGTGACGACAAGGCTCAACACGAAGTTTGGGCAAATGTTATGAAGAAAGTAAAAGGTGTCTTCAATCAGATTTAACCTCTTTTTCATTTGCTAAAAAAAGACATACGACGATGTAATATCAATTTGGCTGCGATCAGTATTATTCCCGAAACTAACATGTACGATCGTCCTTTAGATGAACTCGATCAATCATTCATGTATACACAACTGCTCAAAGAGGTTCGTCTCGAGATAATATTCTGTGCCGATGCGAAGAAAGAGCTGATTGACTTGTATCGCCTTGAATATTCGAATAATGAGAGAATACTACAAAAGATCAGTCAATTCGACCGTGATTATAATTTGCATTCGCCCATATGGTG